CCATTGTGCCAAACGCAAGTCGGACGACTCTGACAACGAGGATGACTCCTCTGTCTGGTCCTCAACATGATGGACAAGAAAATGGCTGCAGTCGACAAGGCTTTGCCGACTTCGACTTCAATCATTCAGATGGAGAATCTCCGTCTGAGGATTAGCCAGGATGATGATTCAACGGAACCATGTTCCATTTCTCATACCTAAGTGATGAAGATATCTCACTAACTAGTAAACAAGAATGTTTGCAACTGACGAAGTCTACGGAAATTAGATAATTGCCTAGAAGCTGCTCAACTAGATTCTGACGATCTATCCAGCATTGTCAAACCTCGTCCGGCCAACCACCTCGTCAACGTCGCAAGACAAGAGACCTCAAAACTATTGTCTATGTTAGATTTAACAGACGAGACAAAGGGAAACAAAACCCGTTACACTCCGTTGCTTACTGGATACAGGAGCATCGGAACCTTGATTACCCAAATTCATGTTAAGAGATTAGCATGAAGGATCATGGGGGCGTCCAAACACTATGGACTACCCTGTAAAGGAATTAACCCCAGCACGAAGTGTAAGGGTGCACTTATAACCCCTGAGTCCACGATGATAGAATTATCGAATGGAACTTTCACGCCACCAAGAACTTGGGGCGTATGACATGATCATAGGTCGAGACTTTCTCTCCGATCTAAAAATCAAGTTCGATTTCACTACCGTCAGTGAAGTGGATTAGCACATCTTCCCTATGAAAGATAGCAACCAAGAAGACAGGAACCGCTTAATGCCTTATGGACCAAGTGCTCCGCCAATTCGAAGGTACTTTAGGAAAGCAAAAAATGGAACGACATACGAAGTAGAACTTCGTCCTGACGCTAAACCCTATCACACTAGACTTACCCTACTCCACGTGTCCATACCAACACTCTTACGAAAGAGTCGAACGTCTCTGCGACGCAGGAGCACTTAAGAGGTAAACCGTTCCGAGTGCGGCACCAACATTTATCATCCCAAAAAGAATGGATCTATACGGTTCCTCTCTGACGTCCGGGAACTGAACAAAAGGATAAGCAAAACCATCCGATCCAAAGATACAAGACATGCTACTGAATCTGAACAGATTCAGAAATACGAGTACCAGCGAGTACCAATGGGCCTATGCAATAGTCCCGACATCTTCCAAAGGAAAGTGGGAACAACCATGCACGACTTGGAAAATGTCCGTGCATAATTGATGATCACTCATCTAACTAACGGCGATCTAGTGGATCACGTTGAATAGTTAGATGAAGTTCTCCTAAAGGCTTGAGAAGCCGGACTTAAGATCAATACTACCAAGTCTTCTTCGAAAGAAGAGAACATTGAATATCTAGGCTACTGGATTACTTGAGAAGGAATCAACCCGTAACCAAGAAATAGAGCGATCCAGAAATCTGCTCCTCCTACTGAACAGGAAGAAACTGGTAGATTTCATTGGACTAGTGAAACTACTATCGAGCAATGTGGATAGAGATCAAATGTACATATAACGCGAGGATCCTAGAAAAGGAATCCCTGTCCATTTCATTGCTTGACAATGATTGATCCCGTAACCGAATGGTTGGAGATTGCCGAGATCTGCTCAATGCAGCAGACGAAGTAGTCATCGTTCTAGAACAGACGTGGCTCACCCATGTATCCATGGCCTGCTGAGGTTATCATGGATAAAGAACGTGAGTTCCGCCAGAAGTCGAGAAGACTCTCCGGGATCAATATGGACTTGTCGCAATTCATTACCACACGTGTTAAATCGTGACGCGATTACAACATCCGTTTCGAGTAAAACTGGAAACACATCAAAGAAACGTCGCCAACGACTCATCCAGAAAAACAATGAGAAGGGAAACGCGACGCGTGTCCCTCATCAATACAATGTCACGATATGTGAGTTTCAACAGTATCAGCACCGCAAGTACGGTCAGCCAAAGTACAAAGGTCCTTAACAATAAAGACCGAGTCAATAACAATGGCACCGTACGGCTCGGACATCTACCGCCAATGGCGGCACAGTTTACCAGACTTGGAACATAAGGTATTTACACCATACAAGGCCTGATCCCCTTGTAGGTTTGATTGCATCTTGCGACGCACATTTCTACATCAATCTCCGGAGAGTGCCCGCACTTTAATTCATATGTTCTCCTTGTCCGACTGATGTCGCGCCTTCTGTGACCCTTTGTCAGGGGCGAATGCAATACACGGCTTTAGCCTTATTCGCGACTCGATCCTAGATAGGGTTTGAGTTCGACTCATGACGTAGTCCTTTGCGAATAGTATTGAGACACAGGTTCTCATGACTGCTAGTCATACAAGGTTGTCGATGAAACATCGCTCTAGATATTTAGCCGCGTGGAGCTTCCCACGCTACTAGACAGCTCTAGCTGAAGTTTCCAGAGTTCCGGAAAATGGACCGTGAGTACGTAGAGTTATGCCATAACCTAACGATAATCACACTTCGAGGCCTCCCGCGGGAGACCAACTTCAATGAGCTTCACAACGATCTCTCTCATGGATTAGTTTTTCGTAGCTTTCTAATCTCTCTCATAACTTTCATTCTCTCAAACTCAAAACACTCGAAAGATCTTTACACTAGCTTTTAGCGTAGTGCAACATGTTTCCAGAAGATACGGTCTCCCCCCCCCTGTGCTCACCTGTCACGAGAGCTTGCCCGGCCGGCTTCGACCTAAATGTCAATCCTATCGGATTTCCATTTAGGTCTCATCCAGCCAGGCTCACTCTCGTTCCAGGTTCGCGCTTGTTGGTGGAAGACCGTTCCTCTACAGACCGTCCGACGGTTTTTACTCAGGATTTAAAAGCTTCGACGACTGACTAAAACAATTGATCACCACAATTATTAAGGGATTGTTTCTTAAGGGATTGTTTAAGGGATAGTCAAAGCTTTAAGGGAGTGTTGTTAAGGGATTGTTTATTTAAGGAATTGTTTAGGGGATAGTTGAAGAAATAAGGGATAGTTGTATGGTGTTTCCATTTGGCGTTAAGGGATTGTTTAAGGGATAGTTCAAGATTTAAGGGATTGTTTTAAGGGATTGTTTCTTTAAGGGATTGTTTAAGGGATAGTTGATGAGTTAAGGGATTGTTTAAGGGATTTTTTAAACGTTCATCAGTCGTGGAAATTTCAATTTTTTTAAAATCCTGTGTGAAAACCGTCGGGCGGTCCTGGTAGCACATGTACAGGGGCAGGATCTTTGGTTTGCTAGTTTCTGAGGGTTGTTCCTTACCAGCCAAAATGACGTCCGTACGTACGCGAAATCAAAATAACTGCCGAATTCGGAAAGGTGACCTCCAAATCCACACATACGGCGAACCGCAGAAAATGTTTATAGAAAAAAAGTGGAGCTGCGGTTCGCAGAATGAATGGATTTGGAATTCGCGTAGGACCAATCAAAAGACGAGAGCCTGCCGAGTTCCCGATTTCAATGTCCTCCACGATTCCTTAACTCTAATAAACCATCCTTAGCTCTAATAAACCAGCCTGGCCTTTTCGAATAATAAAGTATTGGATTGAAGCGCGCCTAGCTACCAACAGACCGATTTCGACAACCAAGAAGGTTAACAAGCAACCTGAGGGTAGCCTACAAGGAAAGACCATTGTATGCTTGTTAACCTTCTTGGTTGTGGTGGTGGGTCTGTTGGTAGCTAGTAGCTTCGATCGAACGCTGCCTGTTATCCCTTGGGTTCGATTTGAAGTCGATTAGATTCCTTGGTAGCCTTCTGTGGCTCGCCCTGCGATGAGTGGAAATCCACGTGAACCCCCATTGTGGTGCGAAGCAGCTGTGCTGGTTTAGCCAGGTGGAAGAATCGCTGTGACATCTGTATACTCCAACAGTAGGGTCAGCAGTGCAGCCATCTGGCAATACAGAAATAGCTGAGGAACTCTATATACCCAAGGATGATGCAGTTCTTCAGCCAAGACCAATATAGAAAGTTAGCTTGCCAGCACCAGCCAAATGAGATGCAAGAGAGCCAAAGCTGCATGGCTGAGTGCTGTCGAGGATTTTGTGTTCAGTTGATTTTAGCATAGTTTAAAGAAGAAGAAGTAATGAAAGGATAGTTGACCAGATACAGCCTCAATAGCACTAGTTTCCCCACAGTTGAAGCCTTCCTGTGTGGATTGTGCCAAGGCAAAGAGTGAGTTGTTCAATCATTGCTGTGGAGATTGAATAGCAGCGGCAGCCAGCTTTGTGGCTGGCCCATTCCCACTGTCAGAGGAGTGAGGCTCCAAGCAGAGCTCTCCACTCCAGCCAGCTCTTTGTGCATCTACCCTGACTGGATCTCATCGGATTAACATTGTCGCAGATTGCAGGCACAAGGAGTGGCTCTACAGTGGAAATCGAGGAGGAAGAAGAGAGGAAGGAAGAAAGAAAAAAAAAATCGTGATAACGACTGACGATCGGCTGATCGACCGAAAACTGGAATCGCGACCGATTGAAGCCAAACCAAGACGGTCTCCTACCAACCTGGACCTGCACTACAAGATAGTCCAGCCAGTTTCTTGTTAATCGGCTTGGTTACGGCGGCCGCGAGCGGAAGGCAACAGGTACATCATTGTCGACTTTCGATACGTAAATCTTCAGTCGTGCCTCCGGAGATACTGCGGTGAAACGGTACTCACACGGTACTCACAGAACCGGTACCGTACCTCCGTTCCGAAAGCAGGCCGAGCCTTGATTCCGAGTCGTCTCACATTTTCCTCGGAATTCCGAACTCGGAATAAGATACGTATTGAAGATACGTGTTGATCCGAGTAGGAGGTGTCGATCCAGTCTAACTCGCAACACCACGAGAGCACCTTCCAGTCGGTTTCGAAGGATTCCAAGGGTATCAGTGTGTCAAGCAGCCTCTGTTTAGTCATTGACTAGCAGTACAAGACCTCAAGTCTACATTTGAATTTTTCGTGGCAGTTCTTGCTCAACACCTCTACACACTCAGCCAGCACAACAGCGGTCATCATGGGTACCAGTAGAAGCAAGAGGAGGAAGAAGCAGCAGCAGCAGCGCCAACAGCAACAGCTGCAGCAGCAACAACAGCAACAGACACCACCACAGGATGTGGCAACACCGTTGGCAACAAAATACACCACCGGTGCCACCACCACCACCATCCGGCAACACCACCAGGTAGCACTGAACCACCACCATCCACTCCTGTCAAGTCACCAGTGGATCCTCCTTCAGTTCACCGACTACCTGTGGTTCCCCCACCATCTTACCAACCCAGTGAATCAGCTGTTGCATCCTCCAACCTTGGCAAGCATGATACCACCAATGATTAGCCCACAGCTAGCACAACGTGGTTGGAGGCATTGCACCAAACAAAGTAGGAGGGAGACCATGGATCGCCAGGCTGCTTTTGAGGCCAAGCTATCCCAACAACAACAGGACTTCAACCAGTCTAGTGTCTACATCCATGGCTTGGTCCATACATTGATGGACCAAACCAAAAAGCAACTTGGCCTCATGGGTATAGGAGGGATCAGCCCTATTACTTCCAATGCATCCTCTTAATTGGATCACCATCCTAATAGTTTACTGCCCATGCGACAAAGTGTGGAAGGAACCACTGATTCTATAGCACAGTCTCAAAGCAGTTCAGAACCAATTGATTTGGGTTCAGGATTGATTAGTGATGTTGAGGACCATTTTGGTCCATCTCCTCAGCCCCAGGTGGATATATATGTTGCCATCCCACCTTTTGGAGATGAAGTCATTGACAATTTGAGGGCCCTCAAGGAGGAGGATAAAACTACAAAGACTAGAACTTTCAAACCCAACCAACACCAATACATGGCAGCAGTATACCCTCAACATTCTCCCTGCCTTACACC